AAACAGTCCTATTTGTCCTGACTGCCGATCTTCTAAAAGATCAGTCCTTGGACCGGACGGACCGATTAACAGCCCTAACTTTAACAGTTAATGGCAAATATTTATATCATGCACAAATGGTTAATTTTTAGTCTTTTTTTCATACATGTTTTAGCATAATTTTATAGTTTTGAATAAACACATATAGTCTTTTGTCTGAATGGTAATCATAAGAGATAACACGAGAAACAAATTTGTTTTTTACTACACACGTTAACAGATTTTGTATTAGTAATATATTTAGAATGAATATTTATAGAACAAAATATCTTTTTGCTTCTTTAATTTTAAAGTCTTTTATCCCGAATGGTTAATCATACGATACATATGATGCAAGAAATAAAGAAAAAATTTTTATTAACGCACATAGACAAAAAGGGTTACGGTACGACTGAAAACTGTTTACCCGAAAGTCTATTTACCCGACATCACTTGAGATGAAAATTTACTAATTAAATATACCTATGGTTAACTAAATGCTAAATTGTAACCCTATGTGATATCGGGTAAATGGACTGTCGGGTAAGTAGTTTTTGGGAATTGAGCGAAAACCCTTATCCATACGTATTAGTCTTTTTTTTGTCTAAATGGTTAATCATAAATAATACATATAATGTGAGAAATGAAAAAAAAATTTTATTAGCACATTAACGTCTTCTGTCTAAATGGTTAACTCAGTTTTATTCTTAAATAATCAGAGAGTATGATCTTGTGCCCTAGTTTGCAAAACGCAATAATCGATTAATCGATAAAGATATCCGATTTTAAAATCGATCCTCATCTTTAATATACTATTTTGTGTCAAAAGATCTAATTAGGTCAGATGCACAATTTATTTATTCTCTGTATAATCTTCATTCTCTTATAGATAGAAAATCATCTTTTTAATAAATATTTTTCAGTTCAAAAATGAAAATTCTTCGCCCACTTGATGCACTCGAAAAGAATTTATTAAAACTTCAATTATCAAATCTTTATGGATGCAATGTTCATTTTACAGTAAGATATTATTGGGATGAATTAGTTAACTTGCAGAATTCATTTTTAGAAATTAATATCTCACAGATTCTTTTCCCAGCTCTTGAAAGAGTTATTTCTAAAACCCCTCATTTGTGTATTTCAATTAAAGATGCAAAGACATCAAGCCCACAATTTGTAGTTTTGTCTGAAATTGATTTTTCAAGAGTTATCAAATTTGTTTCTATCTCATCAAATGAAGAATTTGTCAATATTTCGGAAAAAGAACTTGTCAAAGAATTCGATTTAGATGATATAACGAAACCTTACTGGCGTATTACTGTTGGAACAAATAATTCAACATCATGTGAAGATTCAAAAAAGCAACTAGATTTCAATTTTTGTATAATGTTCACATGCAATCATATAATCGGTGATGCGTTAAGTTCAATGGCATTTCAAGCAACTCTTATGGAGGCAATGGATAAAGTTTTTTCGCAGAGAGAGACACATAGTTTTAAATTAAAGTTTACTATTGATCAATCTATGGTTATTGAAAATCCATTAAGATTTTATGGAAGCATTCATCAACCTGAAAATAATTATGTAAAAAATAATAAGCATGTCATAAGCCCTGTATCAATTAGTTGGCTTAATGAAATACGACAATGTAATGCCCTTAATGGTATTACTAAAATTCGCTACTTTTCTTTATTTGAAAAAGAATTCGAACCTATACTTTTATTAGCCAAAACTTACGGGACTACTATTTTAGCCGTCTTAAATATGTTGATATTTTTCTCAATTAGAGAAACTATTGGACATAAACTTGACTCTCAAATTTTAAATGTTCGAGTGCCATGCTCGTTAAGAGAAAGGATAACTCCAAAGGTTTCTTGGAGAGAATTTGGAAATTTTATTAGCTCGATTCCATATGAATTTAATATGAATAAAATTTCTTCTATTAAATTATCTGATATTGATTTTAAAGAACAATTTTGGAATTTATGTCAAGATTATACATTAGTTATTCGTTCCGATCTTTCAATTTTATCCGAACGCCTAAGTGAACAAACTAACTTTATGGAAAATAAAAATAATACGGGGGAAAATAATGCTAAAAACTTCAACACTATAGATAAAAATGTAGAGGATATGAATGGTGAGGAGAATGTGGAAAATCGAGACAAAACAAATGAAAAACAAAGATCAATCAGCTTAATTGTGTCCAATTTAGGAAAGTTCCCTATAAACTCATCTAATAGAAAACGATCGAATTTAAAAGTTGTCGGTTTAAATTATTCCAGTGGATTATTTAGGTCTCAACCTCCTGCTATAATCAGGATAAATTCAATTTCTTATTATAACATATTGTATATGTGCGTTTTATATCAGGATGGTTCTATTTTTATTAATTGTGAACAAATAGATAAGTTTATTGACAAGTTCTTGGAAATATCAAAGATAATAATTAAAGACAATTTGTTTTAGATTTTTTCTTTTAATTTTGTAATAACTAATGCCATAGGCGGCGTTCGCGAATCCATTTTATTTATATTAACGCCCAATATAATATAAACTAGAATAGTTTACGTATTAACGTTATTAAAAGATTATTTATGATGAGAAGTTTTACACTTTGATTAAGGGTGTTCTCAAGCAACTCCCTAAATGTGATTTAGATTGTGCACAAGAATTATAAATAATTCTTATAGCAATTTTGCGGATGATTCATGGTGCGAAATATGAATATTAAGAGCGTCCTCAAGCAGCCCCCTCAGTGTGATTGAAAATGATCGAGATGTTGCTCAATCATTGCCATTAATTGAAGTGGTTATTACGATCAAATCGTAACGATGTGCTGAAAATTCATTGTGCGAATTGCGGATTTTAACTTTTAGCCAATTAAAGTAAACTCTATGAATAAAAAAGGTGGTCTACACCTCCATATTTATTTATCGAAATGAAAATTCTCTTGATTAGTATTCAAATTCCGACTAATTAAAATTTTGCATCAGATCCATTGAATTTTCTTTTTTCATTGCGATGAAAAACTCACTTAAACGGCTAAATTATCTTGTACTAATTAAAAACTGGTTTCCGATCCATTGATTTAGGTGCTTGAGAACACCCTAAATCAATTTAAAATTTCAAGGGTAAATCCAAATAGCTTAATTAATTCAGTATTTTTTATACTTAGGCCGTTCAAAGTTAATTAGTTGGTTAACATCAATATTTTAAGCTCAGAGACGAGGGGGGATAAAGCTCAAAATGTTCTTAATGCCCCTGTTATGCCTGTTGCACCTTTTACGGACTTTACTAATTTACATATGAGTGCGTGAGAGTAAAAACCTGGAAACTGATTTTTAAAACAATGTATTGTCAGTGTTCTAGTAGTTTTAGCAACACACAGATGATCTTACTAGAATACGATAATATGCATACTCTTTATATTAAAAGAAAAAACATCGCTATATCATGTTAATTAAATTTCTGTATCTGGTCATCGATTTAAAAAATATAAATTTATTATCGTGGCTTTTGAGCCTATAATGTGTTTTTGAAATCCATTCTTGTTTTTACCTGTTTTATTCCAATTTCCATTTGCAGCATTGTTGATCTATACCAGGAACAGAGTACAAAGTACGTTTACAGGCAAGTTAATGTGTCTGTACAATTCTCGGCATTTGATTTGTCCGCGTGACTCTGTTCGTCACATATTGTTATGCGTTGTCTATTTTTCACACGCCATTTTTCACACCTTATATATGTGCGATAACTTTACTATTTCCTTATTGGGTTAGAATTACTATATATGGAAGGTCATTTACATCTTTTAATATTGATTATGTAATACGTATTGAATCTTGTCTGTTCCCGCGACTATTTTACGAAGCCCGTTACTCTTGGCTTAGCATCTTTTTTAATCTGTTGACTTTAGTCAACTCGATTTCTATCCCAGAATGACTATGAATATTATCGTTATGTTAAGGTGCATGCAGCCTAGTGTTATGAATCAGACAAAAAATTGTAATCGATTAGTTGTTAATTTTTAGAAAAATCGATTAATAGTTGATTACGTTTAACTTATCAACTAATCGATTAATCGATTAGTTATCAAAGCAGGATTTGAGTTGGAGCATATGATAAGGGTTTAAAGTTCAAGTTTCTTATTATTTATCAAAATGGAATTAAATTGCAAGAGACTTTAAAAATAGATGGGTAAACATTTTAACCAAGTACAAGAACTAGGTATATAAACAACTAATCGATTAGCAAACTAATCGAATAATCGATTAATTAGTTAATCGATTAGTTAGAATCGATTAGCTAGAAATCGATTAATCGATTAATTAGTTAATCAATTAATCGATTAGTTAGAAATCGATTAATCGATTAAAGGTTAATTGTATTTTGTAATAGTTATTATTATCATAATCGATTAGTTGCCAACTCGATCAACTAATCGATTAATCGATTTTAGATTCATACGTATCACTAAATGCCGCCGATCATTTGAGAATATTAATTATTTTGTTATAACCGAATATATGTTATGCGTCATTTTTCAATTTACGTCGACGCATGTCATTTTTCAATTGAAAAATGACATACGTCGTTTTTCAATCGGTATGAATTTTGCGGCTTAAAAAAAAAAAAGTTGCCAGAAAAATTTATTTATATTAAATATTAAATTCTAATTTAGCTACATTTTAACCGAAACTAGATTATTTAGTATTAATTCTTTATATATACATATTCAAATTAATGTAATATATTAATATTTTAATAATAAAACTAACAATTTTTGCATTGTCCACGTAAAACGCATCCACAGCGTCTTGAACATAACGAATTATTTTTTCTGCAAGAGCATTATTTGTGTTGCAATTCGGTTTTCGGCATGGCAACAGTCTAGACGAGGTCTTTAGCTTAAACCAATAATTCCATTATTTATATCATTACATATTAGCATTATTAAATGTATGAGTTGAACGTTCTTAGATTGAGAATTCTTGAGTTGGTTCGGGTGCTCTTGAGTTGTATCCCCATCAGAAATTCGAGTCATAGCAATAATATCTATTTAGTAACATATATATTAATATTAATTTTTTTTTTTATAAATGTTGTAAATTATTCATTTGCCTGTATATAATTCAGAAATAATTGGACGCATTATTTTTGGCACTATCTGAGTAACGCATACCTTACATTCATTGACAACGTCTTTGACTAACTGCAGAACACGGATCTATTTTATTATTAAATAACAATATATATACAGTATATATATATTTTTTATTTATAATTTTTTTTCTTTTTTTTTTAAGTTATACCTTTCGCCACGTCTTCCTGATGAGCACCAAAAATAACCTCGTAGAAATTTTTAACCACGCACTCT